AATAAAGTTGGAGCTTACAATGGTCATTTATGTAAAGGACATAGTGACATTAAAGATATTGGGTTTTCAGAGCTGGAGTGATGGCTCAGCGGTTAAGAGCACTGGCTGCTCTCCCAGAGGTCCTGAGTTCAATTCCCAGCAACCATATGATGGCTTATAACCATCCGTAATGAGATCTGGTGCCCGCTTCTGGTCTGTCAGAAGACATATAGGCACAACACTGTATACATAATAAGTAAATCTTAAAAAAAAAAAAAAAAAAAAAAAAAAAAAAGGATCCTAGGCTTTTAACTTTGAACTGTTTGGAGTACCAGTATCTATAAGCTGTTCCCCACACAGTTCAATGTCCTTGAGGTTCTCTAGACAGACCAATGCTGACCTCTCAGGAGAATGGCCAGGGTTATTGAAGGGGGCGGAGGGATGGGCAACAACCATCTCTTCCATTTGACATCCATTAAGTGATACAGTTGAATGCAACAAGCAGATTCAAAACTCCAGCCCAGTTACATAGCAAAAACTTTCTTACCTGATCACCAGAAAGCCAAATTAAAGATCATAACTAGGACTCTAATAAACATTGCTTTGCAGTAACTGTTTTTGAAGAGCATCCAGTCAACATCAACAACAGGTAACTCCTAAGTCAAACTGCATGGTCCACTGAGCGTATCACAGAAGAAAACCAATGGTGGGCCAATAACACCTTTGCAGCCCAGCATGCTGAGAGGCGAGCTAATGGAGTGCAAACCTTCACCATGGGTTTGTCTACAAAATCAATCATCAATCTCATCTAAGCTACTAAGCATACACAGCACTGTTCTAAAGTCTCTAGTTAATGAGATAAGCTGTTTCCTGCTGCTCAAAATATTAAGTTAAAACTTTTATTTGTTTTCTTTTGCTTATCATTCTAGGGATCAAACCCAGGGCCTAACATATGCTAAACAAGTGCTCTACAGTCCCAGCCAGCAGGTGCAGGTGAGCTTTTCTTAATTAAGGGTCGTTTCATTAGCAATACCCTAGTTCATACTTATCCATTAATTTTTAATAGATTATCATTAAGTATAAGTCCCTATTAACAGGTAAAATTATATGAGAAGCACCATCTCTGCAAGGAGACTTACGTTTTACTTTCGAGATACTGTCATGGGGAGAATTATCATACAAAACACTTGGTTAATCACCGCTCACTTGTTTCCCTGGTGCATTTTTTTTTTTTTTTTTTTTTTTTTTTTTTAATGAACTGCAGTTGAAGCTAGTTTAAGAAAATAAATATCACCTTGTATAATCCCTCTCAGAATCTGGAATTCTTTTATGAAGGCTGGATAATACCAACAGTGAAACCAGATAGACACACAATAAAAAACAAAACTATAAACCAATCTCACTGATGAACACAGATGGAAAAAAAAATCCCAATAAAATACCTGCAAACTGGAGGTGGAGAGAAAGTTCAGCAGTTAAGAGTACTTCCTGTTCTTACCAGCACCACCTCCAGCTCCAGAGGACCGGATGCCCTCTCCTGACTGTCACAGCACTATGCACATGTGGTGTATACAGACACACACAGGCAAAACACTCACAAACAAAAGAAAATAAATAAATGTAACTTTAAAAAATACTTGTGTGTAATTGACCCCCGTAAGCTCCTAGAAGCCCTAAGAAAAAACAGCAAACTGAATCTAAGAGCACATAAAAAAAGATCATCCACCATTATTAAGTTGGCTTCATCCTAAACATGCAAGGATGGCTCAACATATGTAAATCAATACATGTAATCCCCACATTTCTGTTTCCATTTAGAGGCAGGCATTTACTAATTGTTGTAATTTTAAAACTGGTATTTTTAATTAATCTATTCATTTTTGGTACTTCACTGATATTTTTACAAGTGAGAGTTTATAAAAATTAACCACTTATCTCTTCCTAGTTCACAGGACTTTTCAAAATAATATACAGCTGGTTCACTATCTCATAAGGGAGAGAGTAAGGAAGAATGCATGCTAAATGTACACAAAAATCTTTCTCAAATATGAAGCAATGACCACAGCAATCCAAATAGCCTTGTGATTTTTATGCAGGAAGAAATTATTTTACTACTTCTCCAGACAACTCAGATTCAAAAGACATGAGTTAAGAGAATGTTTCTCTTTCTCTATTGACAGTAATAAAAATTAGAAATAGTTATTCTACAGGACCTTCAATAACATCTACTTCCAAAAATCATTTGTAGTATGTATACTAAAATCATTAGAGAAAAACATGGCAAAGAAAGATGTATTGGGACAGCTTAAGAGATTTATATAAAAATTTACATTAATTTTGGTTTCCACTTTTTTACTTTCACTGATAATTTATTAGATAACTTCATTAGACATTTACAACTATATTTTGTTGTCTATCATTCCAAAGTGGTTATGAGAAGACAGAATATTTAGCACTAAACCTATTATGCTTTTAAACTAAGGCATAAGTCAAGATGAAAAACAAAACCTATGTTTATTCTCTCACTCAACATATATTTACAGAAGCAAAGTGTGTAGAGGAAGGCAGTGCTTCCCTTTATCCCATTAAAATTCAGTGACTGAGTCTATAAAATGAGCTGATAACAGGTGGGCAAGAATACACAGAAAGAAGGATGAATACCACCACCCAACAGGACCTAGAAGCTTCTACCCATTCTTCTTAGGGGAGAGAAAATGGTTTGGGGGCCAGCTCAGAGGGCTTAAAGAACAAGTGCTGGCTTGTAACTGGGTGTGAGGTCACACCCTAGTCCTCTTCTATGGCAAGACATAAAATTATGAAGGAGTTCCATGGACATGATGACAATGGACTCCTCTTGGCAGGGTGGGGATGTGGGGGTAGGGGTAAGGGGAGCTGTCTTAAGGTACTTGAGGGAAATTCTGATAAAGCCCCAGCAGGCAGGTGCTGACTGCCAAGTGTCCTTTGTTGAAGTCACTGGAAGATCAGCACAAGTGGCAGTGATAATAAGGTAATATGAACATTTCAGACAAAGCTTTAAGGAGCTTGTAAGAAATCAGGTAAGATAAACACATAAGTGTCTTAGAAGGCAGGTAGATGCCACTTTCTTAGCTGAATAAAGAATGCAGGAGGACACAAGGTAATCTCTGAAGAAGGAGGTCTTTCAGTTTTCTGAACTTTTTTTTAGAATCTGAATTTTGTCAGGATGAATTATTTTTTAATTAGAGAAAGAAACCAAAATATGTCTATAATTAGATATGTGTTTTGTCACAGCAACAGAATAAAGCAGAACACAGTTTTAAATAATCAAAGTAGTATACGGGAATTTTGAGTTGTTTGATGAAAATAATTTGCTTTATTTTGCACTAGGAGTAGGGGCCTTGTTGCCATATTTATTGAAAGCTAAATGTAGAGCTTGGAAAAAATTAAGGCATACCTTCTTTTAGAACTTGTAGTATATATTTTTAAACTCTTGTCTGATGTCTAGTCTGTTACTTTGTAACAGATTTTTAAGGCCTTGCCTGATGTATCAGTCTGCTTGTAATGATGTATCTGTTATTAAGCTATCTCTTCTAATGTCATTAAAATGAAATGTGGTCATTTATAGTTCCCCAATTTCAAAGTGCCTTTATACTGTTAATATGTTGTGCTGTTCTAGGAAAAAAAGAATGAAAGAAAAATCAAACCAATTCCTGTGTGTATTTAGGAAATGCATCAGCAGCCTTGACCCTCGTGCTTGAGAGGTCCAGTCTGTGAAGATGGAAACAGTCCCTTCTCCACTTCAGTGAGCCCTAGTTACATCACTGACTGGTTTTCAAGTTCTATAATCTTGTTTTTAGTGTCACTGCAGGCTGAATCATTCTTTCCACAAATGGCAGAGACTGTGATTCTCTGTGGCGCTTTTTATTTAATAGAACTCAACTGTCACTTTAAGTGAAAAAAAATTTTGACGGACTATGGGAAATTCCTGTTAATGAAGGCTATGTCCTTCTGGGCATGAACACAGGGTGTCTGGTACTTGCTAGCTCCATTCAAAAATTGAATTATTTTGTAAAGTTAATTGTGAATTTCCAAGTATCCTTTAAGCATTATTGAATCCATTTACTCATTCTGCAAGATAATGGCCAACAGAGGAGGCAGGGAAAGCTCTGAGTCAGTCTCGTTGACAATTGTGACAAAGTAGAACTGAGCCAGTGAAGAATATTCAGATATTTCAGTGTAAGCTAAGCCCCAATTCAAGGTTTCACTCTCATTGTAGTGTTTAATGAGGCTTGGAATATATTCTTTTTAACAATAACATTTAAATACTTTTCTTCCTAAAGTTATAGTCATTAGAGTCCTGAATACAGATACAGAACAGTGAAGAACTAGGTGTAAAATATGGAAGTGGTCAGGGATGAAGACATACATATCCATATACCTCCCAAACCATGGTGGGATACAGACACATTCAAAGGAGGCAAAGGGGAAGAACCAAAATTGGTCATCCATGTGACAAGTAGAACTGCATGTCACAAAATAAAAGGAACCAAGTTGGCTAGGAATGTGTGGGGAGAGACAGTAAGTGGCTTCGCTTATATTTAAAATAGCTTCAGATACAATGTCCTAATAATCAGTTTCTGAATTTTGTGAGAAATGTACTCCTTTATATATAAAACCTATGCCACCGTTTTATTTACACTTAAAATTTTACGTTTAAATTTTGCCAAAATCATATTTTAATGAAGTTCTTGGGAATTACTAGGAAAAAAAAATACGTTCACCCCAAGTCTTTTTGGTTCTATAGCAGATAAAATTTCCCCTGAAGTTATGAGTTCAACAATTACTATTATCTTGAGTAGTATTCTAGTAGTATGTGGGGTGGGGACTTAAATGTTCACACACAAGAGTCACACTCATGGGTTAAGTTGCTAACAGCAAATTAAATTAACCTCTAGTTAGCTCAGCATCATTTTACCTGTACCTTAATGGAATGAAGGCAAAATTCAACAAAGAATCCATACAATGAAGTGATGCAGACCAACCTTTTATTGCACCCACAATGTTTTGGTCTAGCCCTTTCCGGTTGTCGTTGAGTCCTCTTTTCCTCTTGCCATTGGGTAAGGAGTTAGCCAAAGTCTTGTCATCAAAAAATGCACACACCAGTTTTCTAAACAGAAGGCTTCCTGAGCGAGTGTAGTTTGACAATATAGAGTCCAGCTGGGATTTAGGCATAAACACATCAAAGCCTTCAGCAAGTTGCACTTCTGGCTACCAAAAGAACAGAAATATTTCATTAAAAGCAAGATATGAAACATTTTACTTTGGGCATAAGTGCAACAAAAATACCAATGGCTACTGAAATGTCCATATCTAGTAAATTATATAGTCTCAGTTACGTGTGCTGGAATTTATAATTTATAAAATCAATGACCACTTATTCTGTAATTTCAATGGTAAGTCCATCCAAACACAATGAAAACACGTTTCTATTCATACAAACATTTCTGAGGAGGGTGGACAATTACACAGTAATATAATTAAGGAGACATAAATTACTTATATGCAAAACCCTCACTTTGTAAATGAAGAAACCAAGGCCTAAAGAGACAATACCAAAAATGACTTCAAAATAATTCAAATGCCAAATAATTTCTTTCATTTAAGGTGACAAATACAGGACTACCCCACAGGTACCTTGTTCCTCTATTAGCTATAAATTTCATTTTACCACAATGAAAAGTTACATAAAGTGACAATGCAAAATAAAAATGGCAGCTAGTTCCAGTTTCAATTCTCCCCACACTTCCTTGTGGGAGCAATGTCCCAGCACACTGGAAAACCACTGCACGGGTTTCATTGCTTGTCAGGAACTTCCTGAAGTCCTACAGGTAGGGTGCCTTCAGAGAACATCCTATATATTTTCAACCTGCCTTTTCACCTTGCACTTCTGCATAGCATTTCCTTCTTAGAGCTTTTCCTAACCCCTTCCTGCCACAGAGGTAGCCATGCCCTGTTATTGTCAGTCGTTTAGCATAAGCACATATCAGTACTTATTATATTATGCTTTGTATCTCTGGTGTCTAGTATGCATAGACACTTAGTAAACTTAAAAATTTCATTAGCCATAATCTAAATTATTTTAATACTTATATCATTGTATTTATGTAATTTCAATGTGAAAACTGCATTGGGTAAATTTGATGAGAATGAAAGGAATGCCCTACTTACACAAGCTATACATACAATCAGAGCTCATCCCTAAATGTTGTATTTGCGACTAGGTGAGGACTTGGGGTCAGCTTCTCTCCTGGTAAGCAGAAGTTACTCTTTTTGTTTGTTCTACTGTGTTCAAATGCTCAGTACACCTTAGAGTGAAGTGCATTCAGAACACGCCCTATATCATTACTTGGACAACTAAGGAAGGTGCTTGGGTCTTGGCCCTTGAAAAAGAAACTTTGGACTGGATTATCCAGAAAGTTATCTATGTCTTTGGCTCCACTTTGCCATTTAATGTTTGGTTTCTGAATGCCTGGTAAATACCACTGTAAAAACAGTGCTGTCAGATTTCCCCCTGACTTGCATCTTGCTGCTTGTTGGTCAAAGGTCTAGAGGTGCTTGACAGGAGCCAGAGGCTGAATACCTAATTCCTGCAACAGAACGGGCAAATACCAAGCACTCAGGAAACACTTGTCAAGTGATCCAATGTAGAATTGTTAGAATGGAGAGAATTTTGCCATCATAGGGCTGACATGAAGTTTTATTCAAAATCAAAGTTTTATTTTGCATAGCCTGTGAACTTGAATTCTAAATGAGCTGATCTCAGAGTTTCCATAGGAACCCCAGGATCATGTGAAACCCATTAGATGGACCCTGTCCAAGTGTACCCTGCACCTTGTGAGGTACAGGAGTAAAGCCTAAATTTATTTAATAGAACTCTGGGTTGAATTCTGATACCACTAACCTGGTACCTAAAACTCAGGTATCTGACTTCTGAGACTCCCAGAATTTCCCAGGGAGGACTTGGACCCTAGCTTCAGACTTGAATAAAGCACCAGGGAAAATAGCCACTCCCTTCTTAATGCCTGCAGAGTACTTTCTATGAAATGTGTTTACAGCACTGTTCCACTGCATTTATACAGTTGGGATACACAGCTCTTACTGTAGTCACTGTGCCAAGAATCCAGTTGGCATCCAACAGGTGTGTACCAGAATAAACACAATGACAGGGCAGAGTTTTCTTTTCCCTCTCCAGAGGAAGTGGCCTGCAAGTGTCATGCTGTGACTGGGAACATGCCAGTGTCTTAGAATGATCCAGTGCTGGCTCCAGGAGAAGACTTGGAGAACAGAGACCACCTGACTCAGTACCTACTTCCTAAGTACCTTTTGTGGGGAGGGACTTAGGGCTGGCTCTGTAGCCGAGACTCATGTAAACACTACAAGCCGCATAGTAGGGCGAACACTACCCAAGAGGTTCTAGGCAAGGGCTCTTAGTGCTAATATCAGGCAGGATGGGCTGCTGGATCTGTGGAGGAAAAGTAATACCAGAGGCTGAGAAAGAAGTGGATAGTACTTTAACAGGGCCTGGAAGATAAGATTTAGGAGACCACAGTCAGTATAGTTAATATTTGTGGCATCTTCTATGATGCTTAAAAGTAGACATCTGGAGGTTTCTGTGGAGCCAAAACTTCTTATGGCATTGTAGTCCTATGGTGTGTGATGCAGAGGGCCAGTGGGGCCAATGCTATTGTTGCATTCTGGTCTATCTCCCACTGCCAGGCTAACACTGTTATTTTGAGCTGATCCTTCCAATTCAAGGAACATGAACTCATCCACTAGCCAAGTACCTTTTGGAAGAATACATAGTCTGATTAGCTGCAACAGGCAGCAGCAAAAGAGCAAAGGTGGCCGAGCTAGCTCCTCCCTGATCTTCCCTGCCTCCAATTCAGACTTCTTTGCAGGTAACAAGAGTACTACTGCATGTTTTAAAGGTGCCACAATGTACTAATTCCTTCAAAGAAAAAGGAAGAGGGGGAGGGCTAGCTTTATGCTGTGAAACATGAAGAAAACATAATACTAATTATCTTGTTTTCCCTATGAAACCTTGCCACTTGTTCTACTTTATAAGCATAATCATAGTACATTATTACTATATAATGAACCACAACTCTGCACATACATTAAAAACAGGTTTAAAATACTTCCTCTAGTTTTGGAATCATTATCTCTTTTTGTTTATTGGCTTCAGTTTAAATGAGATCTGTTTACTGGTAATAGTTAAAAAAAAAAAAAAAACACTGTTCTAAATAAGCATCATAAAGAAACTCTAGACTTTCCTTGAAAGATTCATTATTTGATGCTCAAGCCAAGACAGATAGCTAATACACTAATTTGCAGAGTCTAATGTTATGGAAATAAGATGATGTTTAAATGATGACATCCTAATTATGGGCACAATTTGCAATGTTTACAGTAATTATTTTTAGGGTTCACTATGAATTCCTACTATGCAGTGTCTTATTTACTTCAGGTATCTCAGCCCCTGAATTCAATATCTCAGTATTGGAAATTCCTTATCCAGTGTGACTTCATCTTACACTGGTGATGTTCTAGAAGCAAAAACTGGTCTATCCTAATGGCTCTTGAAAATGTCCCTGGACCAAGGACAGTGACATTGACTATATTGTTTCTTTGCATTTTGGGGATGTTGTTCCTTTTCTTACACTTAGTTAACATCTAGTTTAAGTGATAGATTTTCCAACCAGGTAACTGGAAAGAAACCTCCCCCAGCCCCGCCACATACAAGTCCCTATGAGCATATCATAAGATACTTAAAGAGATCATATAAATGCGTCACTCAGAGAACATATCTGATACAGGCTATTTTATATAAGATATTAATAGTATAAAATTACAGTAAGACATTTAACAAGTTGCTCGTGGTCATTGGTTAAGAAGAAAAAGAAGTGCATAGATGCTTATGTTGGGCATTAGCCCCAAATTTTCAACTGTAAATTTATAAATTATACACAATGATTTGCAAGATCTATGTTGTGCGAGACCCGTATCTATAGGCACACTGCACAAGGCTGTCTGAATAAGGTGATGTAAAGTGGGGACCAGGGAGTCAGGCCAGCTGGTAAGCCTCTGAATGGCTTAGGATGGATGAAACCTTAACAAAAACCACAGAAGAGGAGGTGAATTCTTCTAAGACTGACTTTATGCCTCCCCACCAAAATATAACACAAGACTGACAATAACGTTTAAAAGACACAATTAGTTTGTCTGTTTGTAATATCACTATATATAATGAGCCTTTGTCTATTTAATATTTGATATATTTCTGATCAGATTGGGAGTTTTGACCTTCTCTGTTTCCGACATAGGTTGGTTCACCCCTCCTTAGGGCAACCTGGTAGTCCCCGGTTCCCGGGAGGTCACCATATTGATGCCAAACTTAGTGAGGACACCGGGTCAGCATAGCACACTACAGCACAGAACTCCTGAACTCAAGTGATCCTCCTGTCTCAGCCTCCAAGTAGCTGACACTACAGGTGTGGACTCTCGTGCCCAGCTGGTATTTGATATATTTCTAGGAAAATGAGTTTCAGCTTATGAAAGAAAAAATTTAAAACAAATAAAACCCATAACATTTGTTTTTGCTTTGCTTATAAGTATAATCTTTTTTTTTTTTTAAAGAAAAATTAACATTCTATCCTACAAATCAAGTCCGCTTACTATCACCATTTTTTTTAAAGGCTATCTCAAATCACTTGGCCAATGAACAGCTGAGACGGGGGTCAGGTCTGCTTTAGCTGGCTCAAAGAGTCTGACTGCTATGTTAAGGAGTCCAGCACAGGTGTGGTCTAAGGAGGGGGCTGAGCAGAGAATCCCCAGTAGTATTGGAACAGAAGTTGCTGGCTGTACTCCATTAAGACCAATACTGTATAAGTAAATATTAAAAAGTGCTTAGCCAAATTTCTGTGAAAAAGCAAGTGTAATAATCACAGTATACATTGAATATTGACTAGGATTAAAAGAAGAAATCATTAACATTCTAATTCTTTTAAGTTTCTTTGATAGAATTCTAGTAGAATTAAGAATTTTAGAAAAGATAATACTATTTGGTTTCTTCCTCCATTTGCATAATGATAGTTTCTAGCCTTCCAGAGAGTGGTGAGCCTTTTCCTTCTCAAGGCTATAAATTCATGATTCTGAACATTAAGTCCTGATTTATGTTAAAGACTATTGAACTAAATGGACACTATGTA